AAGAGGTGTAGTCGTAGGCGTCCGGTGAAGAAATAGGAAGAATGCACCTTTTGTACTGGCCCAGCAGGACGTAAGTACTAGGGCTATGAGAAGTGGGGATGCGAGAGGTGGGGGTAGCTAGAGAAACGCTTCGATAGTCACTAATAGTTGATCGATGCTCGCAATGAGTATCGATCTAGAATCCTAATCGGTGGAAGCGGACGCGCGCGAATTTCGAATACCGCTAATCACCGTACGATCCTTTCGGATCGTACACTTTTGAAACAACTCATATATAGATACCTTAAGTAAGTAAATACTATCGCGGGATATTTTGTTCAGTAGTATAAAAAATAAAAAAAGGAAAGTATCGCGAAAAGAAGAAAGAAAAAAAATGAAGAAAAAAGCAAGCTGATAATAATCCGTGTACAAGGAACGACGACGTTGTTTTTGAATGGCACGCGGTTTGGAGAGGGTACAAACGACTTCTTGTTGCTCGGCAAAACAGAAATTACCGTGGCGTGACGGTGAGAAAGGACAGTGGAAAGATGAGGACACGAAGATTCCATTAAGGGGTAACTGGCGGTAATGAATGGAAGACACCCCTTTGCACCACCCAAAGACCTCTAACCTCTGGATTTCTCGTTCACTTCTACTCTCTCTTTTTATCCTCGCTACGACCTTCTTCTGCCTTACTTTTCTTCCTCCTCCTCCTCCTCTTACTCCTCCTACTATCTCCTTTTTCCACGATTACTACGACTAGAGAAGGCCAGCGTGATTTTCCTCCCGGTAAAAAATACTCTCGTTTAACTTTTCTCCGCTCATTATTCCTTGCCGCCCTGACCTAACTCGACCCGACCCCAAAGGCGGCTTCCTTTAATAACCTACAAAGAAGGAGAGAGAACGAAGACGTCAGACTAAGCAGTGAGAAAAGGACGCTCGAAGAGAGACTGAGACATAGACTGCGAGAAAGAGAGACGCGACCAACGCCAAGGGCAATCCTTGGATGCTAATTTGTAACTGGGCTACTTCCGGAACAGTGGTTCCCCTTCGCATTGAATTTTATTCCAGCTTTTTTACTTCGTCTTAATAGATTTTCTTTAAGTATCTTGGAATATTTTTATATTTCTTACTCGATTAAAAAATAAGAAAGCAAGATTTTTTGTCAATGCTGTAAGCAGTTATCATTTAAACACGATTTTTTTCCAATGATACAATAATCAATATATTTTACTTGAACATGTTTGTTCTATTTTTAAATATGCTTAATATTTGTATTCATTTCTTGTTTTTCATTATTTACTTTTTTTCCTATTAATTTATTGCTGGAAAAGATAGCATTTAAAAGATTTGATTTCAAATAATCCAACGAAGAATTGAGGAAAGTGGCGACATAAACTTAAACTCAAGGATGAGCACCTTGAAGGATCCTCTTGTGGCACGAGAGGGATGGTTTTCCTTGCATCGGCAATTAGCCCCATCCCTTCCCGGATACCCTTCGTTCTATCCTGCCGGTTATAGCAACCAACTCCCTTTATGGCATTTAATTACCTTGCAACCCCAGGCTAGCAGCCTCGGGGCCAAGGTCACGAGCCATTCAACTCTTCGTATTCCTCCGCCAACGGGACACACTGACCGAGTTTACCCTTAAGCTCTGTTTTTAGGAGTCGATGAAGAGTAGGTACTTTTCTTCTTTCAACGAAACATTGAACTTCGATGGGGGTATCCTAACGATTAAATAAAAATTCAAATCCGATCGCGTCGTTTTATCGGGTTAAAGAAGTTTCCCGATACAATTACGATATCGATTTTAGCCTCTTATCGAAAAAAGCCGAAGGTTTACTTTCCTTTGGCACGGTTCTTTGGACGAAGAAGACTCTTACTCTAAGAGGGTCACTCGTATCTAACCCTCTTGCTATTGCCAGAAGATTACGCGAAGAGGGTCCACTTGATTCGCCATTTCGATCATCCGTTTCTTATTCAACTTTAATGCTAAACAAGAATGAAAAGTTTCTTACTTTCTGTATCGCTATTTTCTTTTTTCTTTCAATGTGGTTCTCGAATGTTCATGTGCTCGAACGTCATGTTCCATAAATCATCAGATGCCTCGATCCTTTACGGAATACTACCGAGGATAGTAGAGCATCCTCCTTTTTCTCTCTTCTTTTATCATCCTTTCTTTCCTTTCGAGTTGCGCTATTTCTCTCTTCTCTCCTTCGAGTCGAGTACGAGACTTTATCCACCCCCTTCCTCTTTTCTACCTTGTTCGCGATGTCTCTCTCGCCTGTTTCTTCTTTTTTTCTTTTTTATTTATTTTTATATATTTATTCCCTTCGAGTTAACGAACGAGACGATGCCCTATTGTACTCTTCTTTCCTCTCCGTCTCCACATTGTCAACATCATATACAATCGATTTGCAGAAACGCTATTTTCGCTTATACCAACAACAACCTGCAATCCCATAAATCAAGAATTCTCCTTTATTCCATCTTTTTCTACTACTTTTGTACTTTCATTTGATTCTTTCTGGTTCGTCTTCGAGAACGACGACCTTATATTATACTTTACGGTTATCCTCCTTCCTATTCATTAGTTTTGAATAAATCATTTTTTTTCTTAAGTATTCTTTTGTAAATTTTCCTTTACCCAAGCGAGCATCGTAAAGTTCTTCATGATAACACTCTTTCTCTCCTTACACTTCTTTCGCCATCTTTCTATACAAGGAGGATCAGTAGTTGAGTACGGAGAAAGGGAGAGAAACGCAAGGACTCGCACATGTATTCGAGAGGAAGGGTGCCCGTAGCCCCCCCCCCTCGAGCTGCGCAGAAGTTCCTTCCTTCCGCTTGATCGACATCGATTCCAAGATGGCGGCTCGTTGGTGGTGCGCCCACGGCATACATATCGGCCCATTCTACGAGTGGCAGCCCGCCCTTAGGGGAGCCCCCTGTGCTTTCTCGGTCCACACCCTCTCCGCCAACACTTGTTCTCTCTCTTTTTCACCCTTCTAGCGTTTCTCGTTCTCTTCGAGCCGAAAGGACGTCGATCGTAGAGCTCGAGTCGACCGTGTTCGTCCTGGCGAGGGTGGATGTAGCCCAATCTCGAGTCGACTCCTAGAAAATTAAAAGAGGAAAAAAGAGTAGGGGTGAGTAGAGGGAGGCACGATGGAAAAGGCAGGACGAAGAGGGTGCAGTCGGCTTCGCGAGATGTCCGGACCGATATCGGAATTGCATTAGGACGCCGTGCCACTTTTGCCCCTGGAACTTTCCCCTCGTCCACCATATAACCCTCCTACGTTCCAACCCTCTTCCACCTCGCTTTCGACTCGATCGCATCCTCCTTCCATCGGTTCCTTTTTCTTCCACCTACAGAAAGCAGAAATATCGAAAGAAACGTTCACGACCACGCCTGCTGCCGTTCAACCGACGTTTCTCAGGCTCAGATACTCTTTCGTGTTTTCCTTATTCGTGGAATATAAAGTTACTTTTTACTAGGACGATACAAATATACAAATATAGAAAAAAAGAATAGATAAGGAAGCATTCTATGGCTTTAGCGACGTAATATACAATATAAATCATTTGTTTTGTAATAGAAGAAAAAAAATGGAACTTTTTCTATGTTGTAATATGATTAATGTTGTAAATTTAAAAACGTTTTGTTCAAAGAAAAAATATTAGTATAAAATTTAGATAAGAATTTTTGTAGAGCAGATAAAAGAGTAACTTCGGTATTTGACGTTACCGCTAATAATTGTTAAATTTAATGCTTGCTGAGGAAAATGAGCTTTGTGATTTCGCTGCTCAAACATCCTTATCGAGTAGAACCACGCTGCTCGTTAAGGTTCCTCGTTCAATTTCGTATGCTCGCGTTACGGAGGGCAATGATCGAGGAGGGTTGCCGCGTGACTCGCTTTACAGAACGAGCAATGAAGAGAAAGTGCGAAAGAGAGAAAGAGAGAGAGAAAGAGCGAGAAAGAGAGAGACGAAGGGGAGAGAAGAGAAAGAGGTATTCGGAGGTAAAGCCGATTAGGATTCTGCTTCGCATCGAAATTTCACATCCCTCGAGACGATCTGCAAACTCCACATCCTTTTTTCCATTGCTTTATTCGGGTTATATTTTATTATGTAGGATCGATCAGGTTCGTTAACGCGGATCAAAAGTGTCTGCACTTATCGTACATAATACTAATTTACCTTCTCTTCTTTCTTCAATTGATTCACAAAGTACGAGTTGGATGGTCTTGTCGCGAAAAGTAATCTTTGAAATAATAGCATATCCCACGCTCGATAAATTCGATGAGTAGAATAGAATAGAATAGAATAGAATAAAATAAAATAGAATAGAATAGAATAGAATAGAATAAAATAGAATGGAATAAAATAGAATAGAAAAGAATAGAATAGAATGAAATAAAATAGAATANTATTACTTCTTTCAATATACCCCACGCACTGATGGTCCGCCTTGGCGAACGCATTCTACCCCGCGACCTTAGACAAGAATGGGACAAACAGTTAGATGCGGATAATTATCCGACCATGAGTCAGCTTTGCGACTTTGTGAACGAGTATACACTCCGTAGCGTCGCGTCGTCAAATATTCTATCGACATCGAGAAACGAGCCTCACGCAAAACGTAGATATACTGAGACGATGACTTTACGGCCACGAAAACGACAGGAGACGCATATAACGCGYACGTTTCTTACTCAGACCTCAAATAAGTGTATTCTTTGCAAACGAGACAAACATCTTTTATACCAATGTTCCCGATACCATGACCTGACGAGACAAGACAGACTGGCGATAGTCAAACGTTACGGATTATGTCAAAATTGCTTACGGAAGCACCGAGATCCATGTAAGAGTTCACATTGTCAAATCTGCAACCAGACCCATCACACGTCCTTACACATGAACAATTATCAACAGAAGACAATAACCCCCGCGAAGGAGGAGATCGAGTCAACATCTCAAACCAAACCTACCCCCGTATGACTAACACCAATCTTTAACCCTTTCGCTACGGGGCGGATCTCCGCCGTGGTACTCCCTCAGTACGGCGTGCTACACCGAAACAGTGCACGGTGCACGCAACCGATCGCAGCAGTCGCATCAATGCCTTATTGTAACCTGCGTTCTTGGCTGGTACTTTCGACGAAAAAACTTGTTTTAAAACTGAGTATTTATAATTTATTAACATGCGCACTTTTATTTACTGAGATCAAATGATATTACACAATATAATAATATTATACAACATGATATAAGCGTATGATTAGAATTGATTTTAATAATGATACTGCGTGTGGTATTTTTCAAAAYACRRTGTTGCACATAGGCCAACATCACAAATCTTACATTGATATCGCGATTTCCTCCTCTTATCATTTTTAGTACAGACTACACACTTTTGCAACGGGTTCTTACGATTTGTAAGCACTAACGTAATCCGCACAGACCGTTCGAGCCGGTGTCGTAAGACTGATGATTGAGGCATTTGGTTTATTATTGAACCCGTAAAAAACAAATGATGCAAAACGAAAGACTCACGCGGCATGTCTAGAGTAAGATACTCTATGCATAGCAACTGCAGGCGCTTATCATATATACAATTACGCGACATCTTTAGCGGAAGCGACTATAGCCACTCGTAGTATCTCAGCGGCATCACATGGAAAGCGACTATAGTCGCCCGTAATACCTGTGTGGCATCACATGGAGAGCGACTATAGTCGCTCGTAGTAGCGAAAGGGTTAATAGTAACGCGCGCGGCGCATCGAGTCAACTTCTTATGAGCGCTATGTGTCGTGTCCGACGGGGAGACGGGAACTTCAGAGAATGTCGGGCGTTATTAGATACATGTGCCGCCGCACACTTCATTACCGAAAAAGTCGCGAGAGAATTACGCTTGCCGATTAAACCATATTCAATTCCCGCTATTCCATTCTCGCTATCAACGATACCGTAACTCGAACGACAGGTGTTACTGAGATAACCATTCAATCGCTAGACAATAAATATCGTYGAAGCCTTTCGCTCTTCATCGTCCCTAAGATAGCGGATCAGGTACCCGGAGAAGTCTTCCCGCGAGAATTCGTTAAAATTCCGTTCGGTCGAAAACTGGCAGATCCCCAGTTCCATTTACCACGACCGGTCGACATCTTGATAGGTTYCGGAGCAACGCTCGCACTCATGTCAATAGGGCAATTTTCTTTGTCACAAGGACGCGGTGATTTGATACTACAGAAAACGCGATTAGGTTGGGTGGTCGCCGGTGAATTGAATCTGACAGCCACACAGGAAACCATGCGTTCTTAGCGACAACCGAGTTAAGAGAACAGCTAGAAAAATTTTGGTCATTAGAAGATGCGAAAGTAACGCGATCGAAATCGGTACACGAAATTGCATGCAAAAATCATTATATCCAAAATACCAAACGCGACGAATCGGGACGATATATTATGCGTCTACCCTTCCGCGAAGAGGGACACGATTACAGTCACTTACGCAGTATAGCCCTACGTCGGTTCCATATACTCTGGAAGAAATTACACGCGAACACCGAACTCCGCAAGGAATATGAACGGATTATGCAGGAATACATCGATTTAGGACACATGTCGATCGTAGAAGAGGAACCCATAGGAGGTTGCTATCTTCCCCACCACGCGGTCATTAAATCAGCCAGTATGACAACAAAGGTAAGGGTCGTATTCGACGCCTCCGCGAAAAACGATAAGAGACTTTTTCTCAACGACACCTTATTAGTCGGACCCACAATCCAAGACACGTTAGTAGAGCACTTGTTACGATTCCGAACGTATCGATACGTATTGACGGCGGATATCGAGAAAATGTATCGACAAATATGGATTCATCCGGACGATCGCCAGTATCAACGGATATTTTGGTTACATAACGAACAAATCCGCACCTTCGAACTCAATACGGTGACATTCGGAATAGCCTCAGCACCTTTTCTTGCCATACGAACCATAAAACAACTCGCGAAGGATGAAGGCGCAAATCATCCGCTCGGAGCCGAAATATTAAACCGGGATCTATACGTTGATGATCTCATTACTGGAGCGGATAACATCGAAACCATCGGANCTAGCACGGGCCATTGACGCCTTCATAGACACTCCACGGCAAAAGCATGTCAATAGAAGAGATGACACGGCTTGCGGGTGACTTGCGGGCCCATTCGGATACTATTACTTCTTTCAATGTACCACACGCACTGATGGTACGCCTTGGCGAACGCATTCTACCCCGCGACCTTAGACAAGAATGGGACAAACAGTTAGATGCGGATAATTATCCAACCATGAATCAGCTTTGCGACTTTGTAAACGAGTACACACTCCGTAGCGTCGCGTCGTCGAATATTCTATCGACATCGGGAAACGAGCCTCCCGCAAAACGTAGACATACTGATACGATGACTTTACGGCCACGAAACCGACAGGAGACGCATATRAAGCGCACGTTTCTTACTCAGACCTCAAAGAAGTGTATTCTTTGCAAACGAGACAAACATCTTTTATACCAATGTTCCCGATACCATGACCTGACGAGACAAGACAGACTGGCGATAGTTAAACGTTGCGGATTATGTCAAAATTGCTTACGGAAGCACGGAGATCCATGTAAGAGTTCACGTTGTCAAATCTGCAACCAGACCCATCACACGTCATTACACATGAACAATTATCAACAGAAGACAATAACCCCCGTGAAGGAGGAGATCGAGTCAACATCTCAAACCAAACCTACCCCCGTATGACTAACACCAATCTTTAATAGTAACGCGCGCGGCGCATCGAGTCAATTCCTTATAAGCGCCAAGTACCGTGTTAGAAAAAACGAAACGGGACCTTTGAACAATTTCGGGCATTCTTAGATACGTGCGTCACCGCTCACTTCATTGCCGAAAATGTCACGAGAGAGTTACGCTAACAGATTATACCATAGTAGGTTTCCACTCACGCTATCAACGATACCAGAACTTGATCGATGATCGTCATCGAGCTAATCATTTAATCGTTAAACAATAAATATAGGAAGGACTTTTCGCTACTCATCGTCCCCAAGATAACGCGATCGAATTCAGTAAACAAATAGAAGGCGAAATTCATTACGTCTAAGATGCGAGACGATGCGAATCGGGAAAATACATGGTGCGTATATCCTCGCGAGGAAGGACATGATCAAAGTCACCTACGTAGTATAGCCTCACGCCGATTCCACAATCTCTCGAAGAAGTTACACGCGAATACCGAACTCCGGAAGGAATATGAACGGATTATACGGGAATATATCGATTTAAGACATATGTCGAATGTTAAAGACGAACTTACGGGAGGTTGTTATCCTCCCCAGCACGCGGTCATTAAATCAGTCAGCATGACAACAAAGGTATGGGTCGTATTCGACACTTCCGCGAACAAATGATCAGATGTATTTCTCAACAACACTTTGTTAGTAGAACCTATCATTCGAGATACTGTAATAAAACTCTTGTTATGATTCCAAACGTATCAGTACGTATTGAACGCGGATATCGAGAAAATTTATCGTCATACATGAATTCATCCAGACGGTCGCCAATATCAACAGATATTTTAGTGACATAACGAACGGATTCGCGAGGTCGAACTTAACACGGTGACACTCGAAATAACCTTAACACCTTTTCTTGCCATACGAACCATAGAACAACTCGCGAAGGATAAAGGCGCAAATCATCCGCTCGGAGCCGAAATATTAAACCGGGATCTATACGTTGATGAYCTCATTACTGGAGCGGATAACATCGAAACCATCGGAAGGATACGCGATCAAACCATCGAAATATTGAAACGAGGCGGGTTTAACATACGAAAGTGGGCGTCTAACTTCCGACCGGTGCTCGAAAATTTAGATATAGTGAACGTCGACGTCGAACTCTGCTCGGGGGAAAGTCATGTTTTAAAGACACTCGGTATTTCATGGAACGCCCACCGCGATTATCTAATCTATTCCGTCGCGCCCGTAGACACTCGCGAAARAATTACCAAACGACGAATTCTATCCGAAGTAGCAAGGATCTTCGATCCACTCGGACTGTTAGGACCCGTCATTCTAACAGCTAAGGTCTTCATCGAAGACTGCTGGAAAACACACGTTGACTGGGACGAATCTGTGCCCAGCGCATTACATACCTCGTGAATAACATTCGCGGAACAATTGAAATTAATCGATAATTTACCGATCGAGAGACGCGTTACACTCGATGACCCGATCGACGTACAATTACACGGTTTCTGCGACGCGAGTCAATCTGGTTACGGCGGCTACTTATAGGTAAGATCGCGAGATAAATTCGGTAATACACGCGTGCGTCTACTTTGCGCTAAAAGTCGCGTGGCTCCTCTTAAGGATACCACTATATTACGTTTAGAGTTATGCGGAGCATTAACACTCGCGCGATTATATAGAGAAGTCCGAACTGCCGGCGGATTGAAACCCGACAAGATAACCTTTTGGTCCGATTCGATGATTGTACTAGGTTAGCTAAAAAGAGACTCCAGTACGTTAAAAATATACTCGGCAAATCACGGGCGCGAAATACAAGAAATCTGTGTAGGTATCACATGGCGACATGTGCGATCCGAAGACAACCCAGCGGACGCTTTATCGAGGAGAATGCTTCCGCGCGATTTCCTAAAAGAACAATGCGTAGAAAGGGAATTTCTCTAATTGCCGGACGTAAAGAGATTATCGGTATTAACGACGTGAATTGAATCAAGAAGCATATTTCAGCGATTCTCTAGTTACACGCGATTATTAAAAATTRTARCWCGATGCYRACGATGGCTTAAAACTAACTCATATAAGGGAGAATTGTCTACCGCAGAAATAACAGAAACGAAACGACGCGTTTTTAAAATCGTGCAAGACTTACAATGTCACGCCGAAAGAGAAAAGTTGAAAACAGCGGGGGGAGTCAAGAGCGCAAGGCTCGCCGCGTTCAATCCGATTCTTGACGAAGAAGGTTTAATTTGAGTGGGGGGTCGAGTACGGAACGCAAATTTAAGTTTCCACGAGAAATGTCCGATATTATTGCCCTCACATTACCACGTCACCGATCTCATTATCCGAAAGCTCCATGAACAAAACTTTCACGCTGGTATACAGACTACCCTCTATGCCCTTCGACAACGTTTTTAGCTCCTCGACGGCAAGAATCAGGTGCGAAGAATCGTACGTCATTGCGTNTAGAATAGAATAGAATAAAATAGAATGGAATAAAATAGAATAGAAAAGAATAGAATAGAATGAAATAAAATAGAATAGAATAGAATAGAATAGAAAAGAAAAGAAGAGAAGGTCTTTCCTTTTTATCTCCGTTTGGCGGCGGGTAGGAGGGACCTTAAGGACGTACTTTTCTCTCGCGTCGCACGCGTGCGTATTATGTACGTGTGCGCGCTTCGGTTAGGAAGGAGGGACGATAGGAAAAAGGGGACGTGCGAGGGGGTCGCATCTACGTTGGAAAAGAAGCTGGATGGTTGGATGCGAGAAAGGTGGAGGTGCGTTTGTGAGGGTGGGATTCGGCGAGAAAAGAAGAGAAAAGAAGAGAAACAAAGAGAGGAATCGTGAGGGAGAGACGAGAAGAGATGTAAAGTGAAGGTGAGCTCGGCCGAGCTCGAGCTAGCTTGAGCAAGCTTGTGCGAGCTTGAGCAAGCTTTAGCAAGGGAGAGAACGGAAGATTGATCTGCCGTGCGCGTACCTCCGATACGCGTTTTATTCGTTCCTTCACCCGCAATCATTTCTTCCCATCCTTTCTTTTTCCCTCTCTTCTCCTCCTGCCTCGCTCCCCCTCTTTTTCCTCATCCTCATCCTCATCCTCATCCTTATCCTCATCCTCATCCTCATCCTCATCCTCATCCTCATCCTCATCCTCATCCACATTCTCATCCTTCTTTTTTTTCCCATCCCTTCTTCTTCTTCTTCTTATTTCTCAACCTGCTTTTTTTTCTCGCTTCGTCTTTTTCCTTAGAAGAGATAGGATACTGCCTTTTTTGCAAAAAGGACGCTTGGATAATCGTGTAAACCGACGCACCTGCGGATTCGAACCTAACGCAAATATATTTATAACGGGTGCTTTTTTAAAAAAAAAACCACTTATCCCTACGCACGTGAACGACGATTTTTATCGTGTCTTACTCGGTCCTCGTAGACATTGAAAGTTTTCTTATTTTCGACATTCGACGAATCATTTGTACATTTTTTATTTTTATATGTTTCTTACTTACAATTTTTGAAGGATCTACAAGGTATGAACGAATGTTTTGTTTTCCTATGAACAATATTTTTTTTTAATGACGTTATTTTAATTGTATTATTTCTTTCTATGTTTTTATCCGGAGATATTGTAAAATTTTCGTTGCATAAATCTTCTCGCAATATTTTAATTTCCTACCTGGTTTGGTCTAAATTGAAGGTTAGGTAGAAGGTTTCTCCTGTGTTCTTAGAACACCGAATAAAAAGAGTAATGAGACGCAGGAAAAGTTAATGGATAGGCTTTCGCGAGCTGCTAGTCGGTAAGGATCATAAATTGAGTTCGGTGGCGTCGGTGAATCGCGTTCAGGATTATTTAACATAAAATTGAATTTGGATATAACGAAGGGTGGTATAGTAAAGAAGTCAGGGTATGGCAGAAGTGCTTTGCTTACAACGACTCTACTACGGTTATTGCTTCGAGAAAATTATTGTTCGTAGAATGGGAATAAGAACAGAGTGGGCGGAGAATAAGAGAGAGAGAGGGAGAGGGATGGGGTGGCTTTCCACGCGTCATTACGCAAGGATCGAGTCATGAAAATCGGCGAATCGAGCTGCGATTATTCAAACGAAACCTTTAACAAGATTCTCGCCAATCAGCCGCTGTAACGATCTTCTCTACCGTCAAAGAGATCCTTCTTTCATTGCATAGAAATATCCGCTAAAGGAGACGAATGTAGTAAAAGTGAAGACTTACCTGACTTTTCTTCTTCGATTTGAGGACAAGTTGAAATTATTCCTCTTTATGTTTGTTCGTTCGTATTTAAGAAGAAATGGTCTACCTATACATGTATGTATATATAAT